AAATCAGATGCTTTTTCAATTATTGTCCTATTAATAAATGAGATTTTACATGTACAAATAAATGCAGTCAACATAAAAGTATTATATATACACCATTACTCTCTATCACTTTACGATAAAATTCAATAATCATTGTGTCACAATCGCATTAATGAATAAATAAATAAATAAATAATCGATTATACACACAATAGTAATACAAATTTAAACACACTGATATTAAAAAATTCTTGTGTATATAAATGCATTAAACATATTTATATAAATATAGATGTATTTATATGCATATAATTAATTAATTAGTTATTAATAAATAATACGGAGAATGTTGCTCTTAAATGTCTTTAGTTACAATTTTCTTCTTTTGTGTATATATATATATATATATAGGGTGTCCCATTTTAAAGGGTCCATTCAAATATCTCAGAAACGCTGCGTTAAATCGCAAAATGTTTCAGACAAAAGTTTTGTGACTTCGAAGGGGATATAAGATGGTATCATTAGTTTGACCTTGAGTGGCATTGTCAAGATCAGGGCAAGGTCACTTTGAATTTTTTAAATGGAATCCTCCATTTTTCATTAGTTATTCTTGTAGCTAACCTTGAGAGCTTTCTAAAACACTATAATTAAGTTCATTTTCATTAAGTACTTTTCGAGTTATAAGGCTCGAAAGTTACAGTACAGTCGGCATTAGCATTACCCAAGGTGTCCGACCGACTAGGCTAAAACCTCTTGAATGTTGTTCAGGATCACGACCTGGATAACATTTGTTAAGATCAAAGTCATTGGAGATTCTTTCTCTTATTTTCATTTTTACATTAAAAATTCATTTCTACGTAAAAATGAAAATAAGAGGTACAACTTCCAATGGCCTTGATCTTGACAAATGTTATCCAGGTCATGATCCTGAACAACATTCAAGAGGTTTTAGCCTAGTCGGTCGGACACCTTGGGTAATGCTAATGCCGACTGTACTGTAACTTTCGAGCCTTATAACTCTAAAAGTACTCAATGAAAAAATATTTTATTATAGCGTTTTGAAAAGCTCTCGAGATAAGCTATAAGAATATGTAATGAATAATGGGGAGTTTCATTTAAAAAATTCAAAGTGACCTTGCTCTGACCTTGACAGCGCCATCCAAGGTCAAACCAATGATACCATCTTATGTCCCTTTCGAAGTCATAAAACTTTTGTCTGAAACATTTTTCGATTTAACGCAGTGCTTCTGAGATATTTGAATGGATTCTTTAAAATGGGACATCTTATATACATATAAGAATAACACTATTTTCCTTATAGTATATATACTCTTATATATACATATGTATAAGAAAAAAATAGCGTTATGCTCAAATATAATGAAATTAACAATATGAATAATAATATTAAAGTAATAATCTCTTGGGCAGGACCATGAGGTCTGTTATTATCTAGTCCAAGCGAGTCATCGTCTAACCAATTACTGGCACACATGTGTATGATACCATCCAACATGTCAGACCTTTATAGCATTGAAGATTGTTTAGACACTAAAATATTTAAAGCGTAATATTTAAAAACATATGTTCGACATCAACTTCTTCTTCAGCCATAGTCATAGCAATTAGAACGAAAATGATGAAAACAACGTATTTCATCTTGGCAATATTTTCTATCATTATTACTTTTTATGTAAAATCCACAATATGATACTGATATAATATAAGAGGACTGTTGCTGAATGCGTACTACTTAAGCTATTTTTTATTATATTTCCCGTTTAGCATCTGTTTATACGCAAATAAACGTTAAAAATTGTAGCTTGATATGTCAAGTATTTATTATTACATTTTTAACCTTTTACCAATTTAACAAATTAATTTTTTATAAGCCTTTTTGTAACCTGTTACAAAAGATATTATTTAGATTTAGATAATTGTATATCTAAATCGCACTTGTAAATCTCTTAAATCATACTACCTTTAGAAGTATTGAATTTATGAACTAAAATAATTTTTAAAAAATAAAATTAATATAGAAGAAAAATCATTAATTATCAATACTTATTTTATCAATAATTGAAACAAAGATCTCAAAAAAGGATCAAATATTTAATAACTAATAATGAAATTATAAAAACGTAATGAAAATAAAATTGGCTTAAATTTTTACAATTGACGTATTTTTATTCATATATATCATTTATTAGTTTTTCTACTATCAGTTATTAGTCTTACATTAATATTACTTATTATAATAAAATTTGTGATGATACCATTTAGGAAATTTGATAGACTTTAGAAAAATCTCAATTTCATTGTTATGGTTCTTTATAATAGTTGCAAATATGTATATACAATGAATGTAAAGTATTTTATTATAATACAATAGTAAATTCTTTTTATGACAACGCACACATACATCCACGCATAAAAATTCGAAATAAAATTGCATGATTGTACGTTATTACCAGTTACATAAATTAATCAAAAGTTACTATTATCTGATTTTTTAAAGTGTTATTAGAATCTGCACAACAAGATGAAACCTGTTAAAATTTTGTTTATTACTACTTATTTCTTATTTATTACATATTTCTCGTTTATTTCATATTTTTGTCATTAAATATGTTGCTTATATAAGTAGAAAATATAAAGTAAAAATATATAAAGTAAAAATATAAGTAAAAATATAAAATATTAATGAGGTATGATGATTTAGATGACTGCATGCGGTACACGTTTGGTAACTCTTCCCTCTAATATATAATTATACTTCTATAGAAATTATCATAATTGAAATAACTTTTTCTTGAAAATTAAATTGGTTATGCAGATCGATGTAATAACAACTGTTTGATCTTTGGTTTTTAGAGAATACGAGTATTTATACCATACTTTATATTACGCTTGTACAAATTGTCACGAACGCCATGCTCGCACGACATAATAATAAAATAAAATCGGAAGTTTAATTAAACATCACGTTCGATCGACGCCTGATGTTATCGCACGACCTCGGATGAATACCAAGAGAGTTGACGGGAGGTGCTTCGTCAGTAAGGACACACGAAAAGAACAGGATATAACCGGACTGGAGCATTGATTTGGGACTCACTCACAGTTCGTATTCACAAGAGGATACTACGTTCGAAATCAATCCGTCGAAAGTCTGTGTAACGCGTCGGGAAATACTTAAGTGACAAAAGACAAAAGTGAAGTGAAAAACATTTTATTATTAATAAATTACTCTAATATTTCATAAAAAACGTGCTAAACTCGATTTGGCTCTAATCCCGATGTCTCCTAGAGATCGCGAACCCGTTGTGCCCATTCTTGGCACAATAAAATAAAAAATATAAGTATCGGAATCTACCTATATACTGCTTGTCTGCTATATGAAAGGAAACATCTGTTTTGGCAGACTATTATAAAGTTGTGTTCTTTTTACTGTCTATGACTGTACCATATATGAAACGAACATCTGTTTGGACAAACTATTACAAAAGTTACATTCTTATCTCTTTAATTTGAATTATTAGTCGTAATCATAAAAGGTTCATATTGTACGTGGGTGGTTCAAGTTAAACCGGGACTTTTATGTTCATGAAAATAAAAGTCCCGGTTTGACTTGAACCACCCACGTATAATTACAGTTCCATATTTTGCTGATCGTAGTATTTTGCATTTTGTTGACAACATTACAATGTTTTACAATGTTCGATTTATTATGTACGATTAAATTACGTAATATAATAATAAGATTGTAAAACACGATTGTATAAACTATTTTGTTACAAAATAAAATGACTATTATTATTTTATTTTGTTATTAAACAATTACTTTATTTATAAATTATGTGTCAACAAAAAAGATTATTTAACAAATCTTCTCTGAACCTGTAAGACTACCAAAATATATAAATTAGCTATTGTATCTTGACATATATTTCTTATTACAAAAATAAACATTTTACTATTTTTAAAGTACAAAAATTTTTTTATAATAAATTTCTAATAATGCCGCCTTTCAATTCTAACGAAATATTACCGTTGGCTATTTGGGATAAGATGAATTATTGCTAAAGATTTTATGCAAATGCACATTATGTATTCAATTACAACATACTCCAGGAAAAACTAAAAAGAAAATTTATATCGCAGCAAATTACAGTGACCATATTATGCACTAAATTATAAGTAAAGAGAATTAAAAAAGATATCGATATTATTTTTTTTATTTATTAATTACATCAATTGATTATTAATTGCTATTTATTTTATAATTCATTACTAAATATATACATTTATTTTTAACATAAAAAAACCCGAATATATTTTTATTTATAATATAAACATTATTAATATAAAACAAATTATTTTTGTTTTACAAGTGGATTTCAATTTGATGATAAAAAAGGGTTCCTAGTCATAGGGACGCGAAGAATATTTTGCTGCATGATTAAGCAAATATATACTATATACAGGGTGTTTCCAAATTAAATGGCAAAACTTCGGGAGCGTGTAGAGGAGTAAAAAACTAAGAAAAAAAGTCCTATAGACATATGCTC